GGCATAGAATTTTTCTGGATGCTATCAATACACTCTTTGATTCAGCTGTCTCTTTGGTGAATGCTCTTAGCATTATAATGATGGGGAAGGATTGATTTCTAAAACAGAGCTATGATTTTAAAGATATTAAGGAGGAAAGTTTTGGTAGATAGGATCATTTCTTGACTTGTTAAGATGTTAAGTTTGTTGGGGCATGTTTTGTGGGCTCTGCAACAGGACAGTACTACAATCTGACCATCAATTAAAGAGTCCTCAAGTGGACAGGGTTGAGACAATGGACACGGGCTTGGCAATCAAAACAGAGAGGCCCTTGCCATGTTTTTCTGTTTGCTAGGGGAGCTACCATGTTATCCACCCCCAGTTAATGCAGCCACCTTGGACTAGCTACTGGGAGCTCAGGTGAAGCTCTATGACCGGAAGGCAGCAGGGGTCAGAAAGCAGAAAGGACTCTTGCTTCTCCGGCTTTGACTCACCCCCAGACCTTGGAAGGAGAATTATGGAGAAGAGACATGCAGAGGCGCTTGACAGAGACACACGTGGGTGAGAGACGTGTGGGGAGGCTGACAAAGGCAGCTGTCACTTTGATGCTGTATTTCCCAATGTTCCAGTTCTCTGGGTCCAGGCTTACCCTTTCTTGCAGTTCCCTGCCTGAAGGTACCTGTGACTTGTGGCAAGCTTTAGGGCCTCAGTGGCCCTGCTTTGGGCCAAATGTGTTTGGCTGGGCATTTACCAATAAGGGGATGAGTAATTTGGAAAGTTTTACTGGGAAACTATTATTAGGAGAATCCTTTTTGCTCCCCTCTCTGTATATACGCACTAATCCATTAGAGATATCACACGCTGACTCTGCTTCCTTTGTCTTTCTGCAGCAGATGGCAGAATTCTATGTTGGAGTTTGCACCCCGTAAGTTTGGAGGCCCTTGGCCCCTCAGTCATGTCCTAAAATTTTTGAGATTGAGTCTGAGAATAACGAATGGTAGGATTGTTGTGAAATAATTTAATTAAGTACTTTAATTAACTAGATGAGCTATATGAGCTATATAAGAAAAGCATAAAGCCACGAGGTTTTAGCACATGGGTATTTAGGGGCTGTGATCTGTTTTTTGCTTCAATGTGGAAGGAAAGGCTCTCAGTTTATAGGTTCAATGAATAGGGATGATCAGCAGCAACTTTCAATGTGCCCCATTGCTCACAATTTTAAGCAATAAGTTTGGATTCAATCACTCTCATTTAATTTAATAAATCAAAATGACTGCAACTAGTTGCCTGCTGCTGACCTGCTTTCCATTCTTTAAACAAATGTTCAGTCCACATTTTCAGATGGGTTTGGGTGAACTGGAAAGAGGGAGAAGCCAAACAGATCCTATCACAGTAGTTTGTTTTGCTTCAAGCACCAAAACAACCAGGTCTGTCTTCTTGTACTCTCCACATACAGACTCCGAACAGAGACATTGAATCGGGAAGCAAATGGTGATCACTTTTTTTGATCTGACAATAAAAGCAAAGGCAACAAATGTAAAAGTAACAAGGAGGACCACATCAAACCAAAAAGTTTCTGCACAACAGAAACACATGGAAAAGTGACTTACTGAATGCCATAAAATATTTACAAATCATACATCGAGTAAGGGGTTAATAGCAATATAAAAAAATCCAATTAAAAAATGGCCAGAGGATCTGGATAGACATTTTTCAAAGGCACATATCCATGTTGACATCTTGGCTGTGGAGGTTGAGGAATTAGTTTTTGAGATGATCTTAAGGAAGGAGTAACCCAGCTAGGTTTGTGTAGAAGGTACAAGATTACTTTAGCTGTTTCGCACAAGGTGGCTTGGAGATATAGTGAGATACTAGAAAGCTGTGGTAATAAGCTAAGTGGGGTGTCTGAAGCCAAGCAGTTACTTTGGGAAAGGGAGTGAAGAGGTGAAATGTAGGGATATTTAGGAAGCAACTTGCAAAACAAAACCCAGAGACACTGCAATTAAGATTCCTATGACTCTGAAACACTATTTTGCCCAAGATAGATTGAAGTCCAGTCTTCGCTGACATAGCTATTGAGGAGTGCAGTTCCTGCAAGATAAACTCTTGATTTGGCAAGAAAGACTGAGAGACTGGACTCAGGTACACTTCCCATTATAAATATTCTTTACAACCAGAGTCTATTATTTTCAAAGAGATTTAAATCCTGGGGTGCTTTGAGCTACTAACTCATAGTGCTATTTTGGAATGGCAGAAAAGAAAATAGTTTTTAAGAAGGTAGGATTGGGAGGGTGTTGCTTTCTGAACACAGAAATGTGTGTGGAGAAGATCTTTGGGAGGAAAATTTTTTATTTTGGTGAATTATTTTTTCTGGCTCAAAGTTATCTTTAGAGGCAGTAAATCTGCAGAGGCGCCTCATTATATCCTACTCTCCAAGGGCACCTGTCCAATTCTGGGATTATTCTTTCAAGATGCTTCTCTTGGGGGTTATAATAATCTGGCTAAACTTCACTGCATTTAAAATTTTGGAGATCGTGAAATACACAACAGAAAACACCAAATCCATCTTCCTCTTTCCATTTATTTATAGTTTTGTTCTAATTAATGACCAACCATTCATTGGTTTAAGTAAAATCTCCCTGTCTGGTTCAGCTATATGTGAGCATACTAATGTCCTGGATCTAGCTGTGAGCAGCATGGATTCAAAATTTGGCCTGTCTGTAATTCTTCAAACGTGGTCATCTTTCATTAGTTACTGATAAATTAGGCAGAATGACAAAAGTTTGAACTAATTTTTCTGAAAGATGGATGGCTTGTGACCATTACAGTAGACTTTCCTAAGCCTGTCCTGTAAATCCAGGGCCCCTCCAGCCATCAATGTATCAGAAAACCTACTTTAAAATCCGGAGCAGCAGGTTTGGGGTAAAGTTCCAATTTTTTCTAAAGGTCTAAAGGTGTTTGAAACTATTCTTGTAATAAATGAAATAGCTAATTATTCTCTCCTGCTAAAGAGATAAGCTCACGGCTAGTTTTCAGCATCTATCATAGATCACACACAACATTTATCATAAATCCTATATGATTTGACAAGTGTGTCATGGACCAGAGAAAAAGCTTAAATAATTTCCCTGGGGTTATAAATATGCGAACGCCGAAGCCATCGCCAGCATTCACAGATTTCTGAATTTCTAGTCTATTTTATGAGTGAGATCTGCTGTCATCCTTCATCCCATCCCTGATACAGTCAAGTGGAAAGAGGGTAAAGAAAAATAAAGGGCCTCTGGGATGCTTGTGTTGTAAGTCATCTTTGGTAAGTTTTAGGGGCAAGTTGAGAGCCCTGAGCCTGGTGAGTGCTTTTCACAGGTTGGTCATATTGCAACTAATGAAATTATGAATTAAAAATAATTCTGGAACAAATAGAAAGAGGTGCCAAAGCTTAATAACAAAGCAGGAGAGGAGACAGAGAAGTGTATAAATCAGGGAAACTCAAATGACTGGATACAGTCACCAGCCCAGGAATAACATGGCCACACATTAAGAGGAATCATGTACAGGAAAGAGGTTCACAAGTTAAGAGATCTAACTGGATTTCTAAAAATAGTGAGCCACTATCTACTGCTAATGTCAAGAACCAGCGCACTGAAGCACTGCAGACGGGGCTGTCAGATGTACATGCATATTCACACGTATGTGTATGCGGCTGTGCTCACATACAGACCCAGCGGAACTGCCAGCGAGTGTTTCAAATTTCTTTTGAAATTAAATTATGACACAAAATTAAGGTTATAAAAGTGCTTTTGAAGTTGGTGGCGAGGCCCACAGAGCAGGCAGTGCTGAACTTTGGTTTGGATGTTTGGGGATCTTGATCAAAGAGAAACAAAGTCTCCAGGAGGACAGGATGAGAGAGGGTCGGAAGGCTGCCAGGAAAGCTGAGGGTGTTGGAGGGTGAAGGCTCTGCCCTGGGGACTGGCACCATGCCCCAGGGCTCCCGGATGGGCCTGAGACAATGGCAAAGTGAGAGAGTAGAGTCTCTGAGTTTTGGGGGATGTGGGAGAGAGAGGAAGGGGGACTGCCCCAGGAGCCTGTGACCTTAGTCTCGGAGGTACCTGGGTGACAACTGGTCCACCTGGAGCCAAAAGGATTGTGGGAGAATGGGGACAGGGATTGTGGGAGAATGTGGGAGGAGGTGGAGAAAATGGATGGGGTGGGCGGGCTCCAGGTGTTAGAAGCTGCTGAGCCAGCTCTGACAATTGCTCACAGAAAGGAAGATATTTGCTATTGGATCAAGGAGTCAGTTGGGTATGAGTCAGGGAGGTGGGAGACAGGTTCACAAAGGAAAAGGTATTTGAACTACTGTGGACCGTCACAAGGAACAGGAAGGTACAGGTGAGGTCTGGGAGGCAGAGAGGACCAGGCCTGGGAGATACTGGGGCTGTAGCTGGGGATAACTGGGCAATGTGCTACGAGGTGACTATGTCTTGTCACTGTGCTGACACTGTGTGCCAAAGGTGGCAACAAATTTACAATATAAGGAATAATCCTTGACTTCAAAGAGCTTTTCTCTTAAAATGTCATTAAGTATTTCATGTGTGGTTTGAATCCCATTGTTTGCTGGGCTGCCCTCATCCTCAGCTGGAGACAGGTTGAAGCCACTCTGAAGGGGAGGGGTGATGCTACCTGGATTCTATTAGCAGGAAGGGTGGTGGGAGGGGACCTTGGAAGTCTGAACTCACCCTTAGTGAAGAATCCATCCCAGCTGAAACACTCAGGGCGAGGTTTTCTGTCACTTGGAGTAATGAGATTCACATCTGCAACCCAGGGCAACGGGCCGCATTGAGAGTATGGGAATGAGCAGAAGGGAGTGGCAGCCGAGGGCCCTCTCATCCAGATTTCTGATGGGGCTGCCTGGCACAGACAGCTGTGGGGATTCCCAAGGTCCTGTGGTTACCGATGACTTCACAACAGCTCCCCCCGCCTTTCCAGGGCAACCTGGGGGTGAGCAGCCTCAGCAGTCACACCATTAAAGGGAACCACAGCCAGAAGGGCTATGTCCAGTAGCAATCCCTACATATACCCACTGAGCTTTTTAAACAGGGAGGCTGGAAGTTCTACAATCGTGGGAAAGAACAAAAACAAGAATAGTTTTTCTTCTCCTAATGTTCATGGGTGCTTGCAGGAGTTGCTAAGCTTTGACACCGGAATCAGAAGAGGAAGGAGGTTCAAAGCTGAAGTAGGTGTTAGGAAGAAGGTGGCTTTGAAGAATAAGTAGAAATCAGGATTGGAGGAAACTACAAAGGAGACCATTCAAGCAAGAGATTAGCCTACTTCAGGGGTTAGAAATTAGTATTCAAGGGGCTATTATCCAAAATACATAAAGAACTGTAAAACTCAAAAACAAAAAAAATCCAAACAACTTAATTGAAAATGGACAGAAGGTCTGGATAGACATTTCTCCAAAGACATACAGATGGCCAAGAGACACATGAAAAGGTAAGTCATCATCTCTTCTTATTAGGAAAATTCCAGTAAAGACCACAATGACAGATCATTTCTTACCTGTGGGAATGGCTATTATCCAAAAGAAAAGAAACAATAAGTATCAGAGAGAAGGGAACCCATGTACACTGTTGGTAGGAATGGAAATTGGTACAGCCATTATGGAAAGTAGCATGGAGATTCCTCAAAAATTTAGAAATTCTTTGAACAATCCAATTATCCTGTTTCTGGATGTTTGCCCAAAAAATACATAAACACTAATTCTAGAGATTCACGTAGCCCCTTGTTTATTGCAGCATTATTTACAATGTCTTGGAACAACCTAAGTGCCCATTGACAAATTATTGGATGAAGAAAATGTGAGGGGTGTGTGTGTGTGTGTACCTGGCCCAGCAGCCAGGTTTAAAGTGCCCTCCAGGGCCCTTGAAATTCTCAGAATAGAAGGAACATACCTTAACATGAAAAAAGCCATATATGACAAACCCACTGCCAATATTCTTTTCTTTTTTTTTTTTTTTTTAAGATTTATTTATTTATTTATACAAGCACTGGGAACAGTCAGAGGCGCGGGAGGGTGAGAGAATTCACCAGAGCCAGAGCGGAGAGCAGAGCAGGCAAACTGATGAAGCACACTGCTGAGGGGAGCAGCGGGAGGCAGGAGAGGTCTGTGCACCATGTGGGACCCTCACCCAGCGGCCAGGATCAAACTGGCACTGAAGAGGCTGCGGGCAGCTTCACAACCCCGTGCTCAACCGCTGCGCCACCAGGGAGGCCCTGCCAATATTATTTTCAATGGCGAAAAGCTGAAGGCCTTTCCTTTAAGATCAGGAACAAGACAAGGATGTCTCTCTCACCACTGCTCTTCAATATAATATTGGAGGTTCTAACCAGGGCAATAAGACAAGAGAAAGACATACAAGGAATCCAAATAGGGAAAGAAGAAGTAAAACTATTACTATTTGCAGACAATATGGTAATATATGTAGAGAACCCTAAAAACTCCACAGAAAACTACTCAAAATAATCAACCAGTTCAGTAAAGTAGCAGGATACAAAATCAACACACAAAAATCAATAGCCCTCCTATACACAAACAATCAATATGAAAAAGAAGAAATCAAGAAAACCAACCCTTTCATAATTGAAACACACACAAAAAAAATCAAATACTTGGGAATAAACATAACAAAAAGGTGAAAGTCCTATACAAAGAAAATTATAAAAAACTGTTAAAAGAAATAGAAGAAGACACAAAGAAATGGAAAGATATCCCCTGCTCATGGATTGGAAGAATTAACATTTTTAAAATGTCCATCCTACCAAAAGCAATATACAGATTCGATGCTATTCCAATAAAAATCTCAATGATATTCTTCAAAGAAATAGAACAAATACTGATGAAATTCATATGGAACCACAAAAAAACAAACAAACAAACAAAAAAACCAAAAAAACACAAATAGCCAAAGCTCTACTAATGAAAACAAAGGAGAAAGGAGGTATCACACTTCCAAACTTCAAGCTATACTATAAAGCTATAATAATTAAAACAGCTTGGTATTAGAACAAAAACAGACACACAGGCCAGTGGAACTGAATAAAGAGCCCAGAAATAAAATCACACTTATATGGGCAACTGATCTTTGACAAAGGAGCAAAGAACATGCAATGGAACATGGACAGTTTGTTCAATAAATGGTGCTGGGAAAACTGGACCACCAAATGCAAAAAAATGAAACTAGACCACCACCTCTCACCGTGCACAAAAATCAACTCAAAATGGATAAGAGAGGGCCTCCCCTGGTGGCCCAGGCGGATGAGCGTAGTGCTATGAAGCTGTCTGCAGCCTCTACAGTGCTGGTTCGATCCTGGCCAGCTGGTGAGGGTACCACATGGCATGGCAGATCTCTCTTGTTGCACCCGCTGCTCCCCTCAGCAGTGTATTTCATCAGTCTGCCTGTTCTGTTCCCCTCTCTGTCTTTGGTGAATCCTCTGATCCTCCTGCACATCTGGCCTGTACCCCGGTTCTTGTATAAATAAATAAATCTTTAAAAAAATGATAAGAGAACTGAACATAAGACCTGAAACCATAAAATATATAGAAGAAAATATAGGTAAAACACAACAAGACATACATCGCAATAACATCTTTAAAGAATCATCACCCAAAGCAAAGATAGTCATAGAAAAGATAAACACCTGGGTTTACATTAAACTGAAAGCTTCTGTGCAGCAAAAGAGGCATTAACCAAAACAGAGAGACACCCCACTGACTGGGAAAAAATCTTTGCACTCCAGTCAACTGATAAGGGACTGATCATGAAGATATACAAAGAACTCACAGGACTCAACAGAAACAAAATAAACAATCCAGTCAAAAAATGGGCAGAAGAACTTAAAAGAATCTCCAAAGAGGAAATGCAAATGGCCAACAGGCATATGAAAAAACGTTTAACATCCCTGATAATCAGGGAAATGCAAATTAAAACCACCTTATACTAATAAGAATGGCACATATCAAAAAAAAAACAAGTAACAACAAATGTTGGTGAGGATGTGGTGAAAAAGGAACTCTCCTACATTGCTGGTGGGAGTGCAGACTGGTCCATCCACTATGGAAAGCTGTGTGGAGGTTCCTCAGTCTACTAAAAATGGAGCTACCATACGATCCGGCATTTCCACTCCTAGGGATCTACCCAAAGGACACAAGAACAGTGATTCAAAAGAACCCTATGTTTATTGCAGCACTATTTACAATAGGTAAAACCTGGAAACAACCCAGATGCCCAAAAATAGATGACTGGATCAAGAAGATGTGGTATATATACACAATGGAATATTATTCAGCAATCAAAAAAGATAAACTCATGCCATTCGCAGCAACGTGAATGAAACTAGAAGGAATTATGCTCAGCAAAATAAGCCAACAGGAAAAAGAAAAATATCAGATGGTTTCACTTACAGCAGGAATATAGGAGAACCAAATAAGACATCAGTGTAAAAAAATAATAACAGTATGAAACACAACAAAGCAAAAATGGACAATTATAAATCAGAGACATCCTGCAGGGGAGGAGGAGGGAGAGGGATCAGAGGAGGAGAGAGGAGCACAGGGGACTGAGGTGATGGTGCACGGGTGCATTGGGGAAGGAAACTCTATGGGGACTACACCTGAGGGGTTGGGGGGAAGCAAATATTGTTTAAAAATGAACAATGACGTAAAAAAATTTATAAATTAATTAAAGAAACATTAAAAAATATAAAGTGCCCTCCAGGTGATTCTGATGTAGGGTAAAGAACCAATGGCTTAACCTAAGTCCCTTATTCCAAAACATTGGTCTGGAAACTTCAAACAGAAGATTCCTGAACCATGGCATAGAGCTACCGTGGCTATGAAGGTTGTAGCTGAACAATTTAGATTAAAAAATTTCTTCATGTGATTCTGTTATACATCAAAATTTAGAAATGACCACCTTACTATGCCAATGAAGCCAAAATGAATAGAAAGATTTGGACTGATTGTGGAAAAGTCCATTTAGCAAATTATAGAAACAGCACAGACCCAGACTAAGAAGAGGAATTAGGAGGCAGACAGACTTGGGCCAAATTCCCAGCATTATCCTAAATCTTAAGGTCCTTCTCTGTAATATGGAAATAAATGCAGGCCTACCCAAGATGTTGCTATAAAGACTAATTAAGATAATGTTTATAAAACTGTTAGCATAGTGCTTGGCATGTCATAAAATCAACTGTTATTAGAATAATATAATATTCTTTTGGGTTTTTTTAAAGGAATTTTTTTTTTAAGATTTATTTTATTTATACAAGAGCTGGGAGTACAGGCCAGATGCGCGGGAGGGTGAGAAGATTCACCAAAGACAGAGTGGGGAACAGAACAGGCAGACTGACGAAATACACTGCTGAGGGGAGCAGCGGGTGAGACAGGAGAGGTCTGCTCACTATGTGGGTTGCTCTGAGGCCGACGGGGATCGAACCAGCACTGTAGAGGCTGTGGACAGCTTCATAGCGCTGCACTCAACCACCTGCGCCACCAGGGAAGCCCCTAATATTCTTTTGAATGAAAATGGATATTTGGTTGGGGGTCAGACAGAGGAATACTTTCAAAGCTACATGGAGGTTAGTAAGGCTTCGCGGAGAATCAGAAACAACTGAGTATAGTTTTATATAAATATAACTATATCTTAACATTTATATTAAGAGATCTATTATAAGGAATTGAATCTCCTAATTCATGATTATGGAATCTGAAAAGTTTAAAGATATGAAGTTGGCAAAATGGAGGCCCCTGAGAACTGGAGGTTTTATTCCCATTCAAGTGGGAAACTCCAGGAGAGTCCATGTGCAAGTTCTAGACCAAGTTCAAACACCTGAGCTGATGGTTTAAATTCCCATGAAGGGCAGAAGACAGGTGTCCCAGCATCAATGGCCAGGTAGACAGCTTCCTGGTCCTCAATCTAGTCTTATCCCCAAAGTCCCAGATCAACCTGATGAAGTCTGCCTGCAGTGGGGAAGCCAATCTGTTTTATTTAGCATCCACCAAATCAAACGTCAATCTTACCTAGAAGCTCCCCTCACAGACATACCCAAAATGTTTGACCAAATATCTGGGCACAGATAGCTCAGTCAAATTCACACACAAAATAAACCACCATAGTGAAAGCTTATCTGAAGTGCTGGGCATTTTTGGCAGATAAATGAGATATACAACCCATGTCAAGATGCTTAATTGGTTAAAAAAAACCCAAAGTTCAAAAGTTAGCTTGAATGTAATTACACTTTATTAATATTCATTTAGAACCACACAATTAATTATAAAATAAATCATGCATTTCAGAGAGCAAAGACAGAAGCAAAATACAGTATTTGACAAGAATTCTACTGGACCATCGGCATAATAGGGGCAAAGCACAATTTGTGCATTTTGCTCTCTCGGCAGCTGCATTAGAAAGGAGCCCATCCATCAGCGACAGAGTGCTGGAAGTCAGCAGAACCCAGTCTCAGCTGAGAGATTTGAGGGCTCGACAGTTTATAAAAGATGTAAGAATCGTGAGGAGGCACAGTCCAGACACTGAAGCCCATCTAATAAAGGAAATATTTTTAAAGGAACAGATGTCATCCCTCAAGATAAATGAAGATTGTGTCCTTTTATGGAAAGAGGATTATAGAAGCATTTGTCTTCATCCATTATCTGGACCTTGTGAAATACTTTTCATTAAGGACGAAAGGAAGTTTTGGTGCATTAGTAAGCATGAAGTGCTTTCAATATATAGCTTCATGGGGATGGTGAATGAATTGAAAATTTTGACTCTGTCCCCAAAGAAGTACCGATTTTTTAATTTTTAAATGTATTGTTTTTGGTTTTTTTTTTTTTTTAGAATTGGAGTAGCTATTAGTTAGCTATTAGAAATAAGGCGCTAGAAAAGATGATCGGACTCTGTCATCAAATTATTTGATAGCTGAAGAAATGGCAATGGTAGTCCAGTTAGACAGCAACTGAGAAAAACCCTCTGATTCTGATTGCTTCTCTCTTTCCACCATGTCCCTAATAAGACATGCAGCATCTAGCCAGTATCTCATGTGGCAGCCATGAGACAACGTCCTCAGTCACCAGTCTTCATGTCAATCATGGAAGCAGGGTGGTAAAGCTTTTCATCCTCCCTTTATAAATCAGCCCACTGAGCCTCAGCGAGGGAATGGTTTGTCCAGGGCCACACAGCCGGAACCCCACTCCTGGGAGCAGCCGATCTTTGGCACCAGTTCTAATGGTCTTTGAGTTTCCACTCAAGAGTGAAAACAACAAAAAATCATTGTACTTGGGGACAGATTTAGTTCTACTTTATCGTTTTAATGGCAACGTTAATTTTTGTGTGGTAATCTACAAATAAAGATCAATGGCAGGTTTTTTTAAATGGCAACAAAAGGATTGACAATGGATAAAGATAGTCAGCCCAGGTGGGCTGCTGCTTGGCTAATCAATCACTGTGGACTCAGCGATCACCTGCTCCTCTCTCAAGGCCTAGAGATGATGCTGGTGATTGATAAAGATGCGTGGAATATAAGTACTGAATGCATTTTTAGCCATATGACAACAGGATGTTGATTCTACCCCCTCAGCTTTTGCTCATTTTGATCTTACTGTGTTTTTTAAAATCAGAAAGTAATAATGCTTGTCACGAGTGGAACAATGCAAACATCCAGACTGGAACATCCAGTCTGGAGCACACACACCATCTTCGTGCACAGAAAAACATACACGTGCTCTGCTTGTGTTGCCAGAATGGATTCATACCATCTTCATCACTATCATCTGCTTTTCTTCTCTGACAATTTCTCATGGACTCTGCCGCATGTTCATTCAGGCATAGACCTGCTTTTCAGTCTAGTTTCTTTGTAAACACATGCATTTTGGACGATGTGTGTATGATTTTTTTTTCGATGTGTGTATGATTTTAAGCTAAGCCTTTTTTCTTTTTTGTCTCTCTAGTCTTTTCTTCACCCTTTCTTCTCTACACAAGGTTCCCAAACTGTGTCAACAAATTGTCATGTCTGTTTCTCCTTTCTTCAGTCCATGTTTCACATGCCTATGCTCTCCCATCAGATCTGGGGTACACGTTTCCCCCCATTTTAATATCTTTGAAACGTTGCTGTGTTTCAAAATTGTATCCTTAATGAAATATGGTGTGTGTGCGTGTGTGTGTGTGTGTGTGTGTGTGTCCACGCTAGGGGGGCTTTTTCCCCACTCTACAAAAAACAAGATCATGTTTTACCTACTTTGCTGCATTTTTCTTTCTCCTTCACTTTGTGGAAATCCCTTTAAGTGATAGAATTCTAATCTTTTAAAATATGTAATATAATAGATCCAATATTCCTCTAGTGATGAGTTTCTTCATCCTAGGGTTGTTTTTTTTTTTAATCTGCAACAAAAATACTGTAATAAACATTCTCATTTATATAGCCATGTACTGCTGCTGCTTTATTTTACTGGGATAAATTCCAAGGAGTGGTATTTTTGGTTTGAAAAGTGTTATATTTTTTATTGTAGTAGTGTTACCAGATTACTCGACATACTGGTAGTAGCAATTCACTCCTCTTCTGTTAATTCATCGCTGGGTAACAAACCATCTCAAATCTTCGCAGCTACACAAACTCTAATCAATTAAGTCATGAATTTGCAATTTGAAGGGAATTTAGTAGGGGGTGACTTTTTCTTCCTTCCACATGTGTCTGGACCCACAGCTGAGGTGATCTGCATGCTGGGGACTCACAAGTCGGAGTCAACCAGACCTCTTCCCCCAAATGTATTCATAGGGCTTCTCCGCATCATCTCCAAAACACATGTCTCTCCAACATGGCAGAGTCAGGGCTCAGGGGAGGCAGCAAGGTTTTATAACCTAGCATCAGGATCCTTTTGGTTCCTTCCTCCACATTCTATTTGTTAAGAAAGTCACTGCCAGGACCTCCCTGGTGGCGCGAGGGGTTGAGCACAGCACTGTGAAGCTGTGTGCAGCCTCTGCAACATGAGTTCTATCCCTGGTCACGGAGCTATCCATATAGCACAGCAGACCTCTCTTGTCTGGCCTGCTGCTCCCCTCAGCAGTGTACTTCAGTCAGTCTGCCTGTTCTGTTCCCCACTCTGCCTCTGGCGAATCTGCTCACTCTCCATGCCCCCATGCCTCTGGTCTATGTTCTTGTATGCATACATAAATAAATCTTTTTTTTTTAAAAAAAGGTCACTGCTGATCGCTCACAGTCCAGGGAAAGAGGGGTGCATGAGCCATAGAACTCCACAATGAGTAGAGTGCCTGCTCCTGAAATTTCTCCACCCTGGATCTTATTCTTTAAAGTTTTTTCAACGTGTCAGGTAAAAACTGAAAATTTCGGACCTCCGTCATGTACAGGACATCTGATACGGTTATTGGCCAGGTGAATCCCTCCATTTATGAAATACCCCACTCATGAATTAGCTTGTTTGGAGTTGTTTATTACTTTAATAATCAGTAGGAACTTCCCATCTATGAGAAGTGTCACTTTTTAATCTAGTCACATGTGTTGCAAATATTTTTTCTACGTATTTAAAAAATTTGACTTTTGTGGTGTATTTTGCTGTCTAAAAATAAAACTTTGTGTCTATATAGAGATAAATACATCTGCCTATTCTTCAATGGATTTAAATTCCTGTAATGTTAAGGAAAATAATCTCCCCCAAATTATACATATTCAAAAATTCCCTCTAGTATTTTTATTTATGTGTTTATTATTTTAACTGATACCTTGAAACTTTTAGCCGAAAGTGGGGTAAATAGAAGGCCATGTGACAGTGAAGCTATTGTGGGAAAACCAAGCAAGAAAGAGCAGTGTTTCATTTGTTTGACATCTATTCAGCACCTGCATGTATCTGGGACTTTGTAGTTGCGGGAGATGTGGGACAAAGCACTACAGCTAAGCTCCCTGCTTCTGCACGTTATTGGTTTGGTCTGAATGTGGGTGTCCATCAGAATTCACCTGCAGACATTCTAATGCCTGATGTGATGGTGCTAGGAAGTGGGCCTTTTGGGGGTGAGGAGGGTGAGGAGGTCATGCACCAGAACTCCTGCATCCAGGACTGTGAAAAATAAATTTCAGTTTTTAAAGTCACCCCACGTGTGATATTTTGTTATAGTATCCCGGATGGACTAAGATACTTGCCTTCTAGCAAGAGAAAGGAAGTCAACAACTGAAGGCAAATGAACACAGATTTTCAGAGAAGAGAAAGAAGGCCATCAGCGGTGAGTAAAGAATGAAGAGACAGTGCAGGCAGGGACAGACCTTGAGGGTCCTGAAGGCCCCAGAAAGGAATCTGGCTTTTTGTTGGTTATGTGTCTCCATTCAGTACCTAAATCATAGAGTAGGTATAGTTTGATTTGCATTGTTTAAAGAACACAGTTATTGCTATAGGGAAAATGGACTGTAGGTAGGGAAGAGTGGACATAGGGAGACCAATCAGAATTTTACAGCCTTGGAGAAGGGTAGCTTCCATGGAGGAGAGAAGTAGGTGGGTTGGGGGGAGAGTTTGGAATGAGAAGTGACAGTGCTAGCTCATGGCCTGGATAGGCAGGGAAGCGTAAAGACAGGTGCCTTGAGGAAGGCAGTGGTATCATTGATTGAGGGGGAAAAGCCCTGATGGAGGACTGTTTTGGTGGAGAAGGCAAGCAAATATTCTGGGTTTTCTGTTTTTTAAATTATTATTGAAATCAAATTTACAGAACATAAAATTAACCACATAAAATAAACAATTTAGTAACTTACTGCATCAGCAATGTTGGTAGCCACCACGTCCATCCAGTTCCAAGATGTGAAACCTCTGCTGTGAACATGTGCACTGTGTGATGTCCAGATGAGGAGGCCACTGCACCCCCTGCTGTTCATAGGGAGATCGTGGCTGAAGGTTGACCTTTTGGAGTCCTGGTATTCCCAGTCCTGACCACTGGGATTCCTTAGGGGGTGAGTGTGTGCAGAGAAGAGGGAGAGACAGGAAAAAATTTCTCTTCTGGGGAACACCTAAACACACAATTAAAAATAATTTTTAAAATGGTTTAAAAAGCAGGTGGTTATTGTGGGGATCTTCCCACAGAGAATTTCCTAGTGGGGTTCGCCATGGGGAGTCCTGGGTTTCTGGGGTTAGTCATGTTCCCGGTGTCTTTGGGTGGCTCTGGCTGAACACCTTTGTGTGTACTCTGGTCATGAGACTTTCGGGGCTGCTCTGCCCTGGGGTGCTCTGCCATGTGGGATAGAGGTAAACCCGCCACGAGGTCTGCAGTCATCTTTTGAACTATGACAACCACCTAACATCATGCAGTTCAGATTGGGTGACATTCAAGGGCTAAATTTAGGGATTGGGCTTCCTCTCCCATTTGTTAATGAGTATAAGGGAACCTACCCTTATTTTCCCCCTTATAATCAAGTTATTAGAAATCATGCTCGAACTTAATATTCAGATCAATTACTCATACATGCACTTATGCTTAGACAATGTCAGATTTCATCCACTCTAGCAGTCCTGCTGGAACTCACCCAGAGCAGCCCTGGGCTTCTCTCCAGTCTGTGGCCAGAGCCCCTGCAGCCAGGAGTCTCCACATGTCGGTTCTGATCTCAGCCTCCTCCCTCCTCCCTTGCAGGGAGTACTTGACTTTGAACTCCAGTCTGTGTGCTCACCAGACCCTCCAGTCTTGCCTGGGTCACCGCAGCCCTAATGGCTTGTATGGGCCCTGTTTCAATTTCACTTTCCCAAATGAATTGACATGGTTTGAAATATATGTATGCTTAGCTTCCTCTGCACAATTACCTCTTCAGCGCCTCTTCCTTCATGCTTCCCTGGCTCTATTACTCATCCTCCTACCTCTGCCCTGCCAGCAGCCCCAGCACCCCCACCCCACACTTCCAAGCTCATTTCAGACTATCCCAATGACTTAAGAAAAAAAAAAAACGATTTCTTTATTCATGTATACAAGAACTGGGGTACAGGCCAGAGATGTGGAGGGGGGGTGAGAGGATTCACTAGAGACAAAGTGGGGAACAGAACAGGAGGAATGACTGAAATACACAGCTGTGGGGAGCAGCGGGCAAGTCAGGAGAGGTCTGCTGCGCCATGTGGGTTGCTCCCCGGCTGGGGATCAAACTCATTTCATACTGCAGAGGCTGCGGATAGCTTCATAGGTTGTGTCTTTACCCCTTGTGCCACCAGGGAGGCCCCATCCCAGTGACTTTTTAAAAAATCCTCCTGTGTGATTAGTTCTTTCTTTCTCTCCTGCTTTAGCAAATGTCTCATTAGATTTCCATGTTCAGGACAGAGAGAAAAAAGCAAACTCACCTTCTCTTAAGTGCCAGTTACTTTTCAATATCCTCACTGAATGCTCCACTATTTTACAAAAGAGAGATGATAAGATGGATGAGGAGGTTTGAGGTATAAGGAAAGAGACTGAGAAACTTGTCCAGGATTGCAGAGTGGACCAGGACAGAATTTAAACACAGAATCTATATGATTCTAAAACTCCTGTGGTGGTTTCCTCATACACAAAGCTTCCTACACATTTTCTTTACTTTAACAAATTGAATTTTAAGTATCCAATGTATCAATATGTTCAAATTCTGTTGATAGTCCCCCAAAAGTCTTGTTGTGGGATTTCAAACTGCACACAGTTGATCCCTTAATGAACACCTTGGTAGGATCCTGGTCTGTCTTCCTGAGAAACTGGGGGGCAGGAGGCTAAGCCGTTGTCCAATCTCCCCCGCCTCCCCTTACCTCTGCTGCTGTGTGATGACAGAGTCCAGCACCAGCAGGCACAGGGCAGGTTCACTATCAATTAGGGCAGATGGATAAGAGTCCCGGAGCCCTGGGTGGATTTTTCAGGCTTTAGTGCTCTCAAGGAACCAGGTACACAGGCTGGGCGGCTGTAGGGCAAGAAGGCAGCACAAGCCTGGGGGTTGGGGTGGAGGGCAGTGCTAAGCCTCCCACAAATCGTTATGCTTTTTCTGGGCTCTCTGGCATTCTCTCTCTCCTCTTCATGGTCTCATCTCTTCTGTAGTCACGCCTCTCATCCTCTCACTGCCGCTGCTGCTTTTATCCCCGCCTCTAGGCTCAGGTGTGCACCCTTGCACATGTGCATGCATGCACACTGTACTCCAGGTGTCCACCATCAGGCACGTGTGCCCCACGCCCACACTCCCCAGCATCTTCTGCATTACCGTGATCAAGGCCGCAGGAGACAGCCACAGAGGCTAGAGGTGAAAAGGCCTGATTAATCCTACACAAAGCCAGGTCTCCATCACCACCAGGAGCCCACAGTTGCTCCCTCATCTTCCTACAGGTGCCCCACATAAGCACATAGCTTCATACTCCCTTCCTCTGAGCCCCTACCAACTTGCTGTCATTAGCAAGTGACTCATTTCTTCAGCAGTTCAAGTCCTCTGTCCTTTCTCTGCTGCCCTCCTGCGCCCTGGAGACGCTTCTCCACATCCCTCTGCCTCAGCAGGTGTGTCCAGGTCTCGGCAGTCCCCTGTGCATCCCATTCCCTCTCCTCCACCTCCAGGCTTTGCTTCCAATGCGCCCATCCCCCGCCTCAGTTTATCTAGTTTATCTTCCTCTTCATCATCATCATCATCATCAGCAGCAGCAGCAGCAGCAGCAGCAGAGCACACACGTGCTCTCCTACCTCCCACAGTTAGGGCAGACACTCCTTGGCTCCTGGGCCTGTCCCCAGTGACATCACCTTGAGACATCAAAGTGACCGAAGGTGACAGTGCTCAGAGCCTCCACAATTCATTTCTCTTGAACCCTCCCCAGTCAAGCTGCTCCCACTTCAGTTTTCCTAAACCTGTGTCATCAAGCTCACCAAGTTCTCGAGGCTCACCCCAGCATTCAGTGCATGTTCTTGGTTTCTGAAACGCTGCCCTGTCCAGCTGTTCTCCCTTCTCATTGAATGCTCTCCTGGGTCCCCTCCTTCTCCTCTGCCAAATGGTGCCTTGAGGCTGTGAGAGGCTGAAGCCCCTTTGCTTCCTTGGCCCCAGGGCCTCAGCACTTCCGGTGCACAATTCCTAATTAAACACAGGAAGTAACCAGAAGTGCCAATTAGCTAAGAACAGGAGACCTCACTTGTTAACTTGCAAAGTCCTGATTCTATTTAAGTGACATGTAAGAGAAGGGGAGAATTTTTTTTTTAATCAAATGAGAGAATGAAATATTTTAAGACTATGAGATCCATTAGATCCATGTTTATTCAACTATTTATTTGGATAAATAAATTGAGACAAAAAGAGCAGTTTGCTCAGGGACTCTTATGTGTATCTAGCTATGCTTTTTTTTTTTTTAAGTTTATTTATTTATATATATAAGAACTGAGACACAGGCCAGAGGTGTGGGGGCGGTGAGAGGATTCACCAGAGACAGAGTGGGGAGCAGAACAGGAAGACTGACTGGAATACACTGCTGAGGGGAGCAGTGGGTGAGACATGAGAGGTCTGCTGCACCATGTGGGTCAGCTCCCTGCCTGGCCAGGGATTGAACTTGTGCTGCAGTGGCTTCAGATACCTCCAAAGTGCTGTGTCTTAATCTCTTGTGCCACCAGGGGGACCCTGACTATGCTTTTATATTTGTCATTTGCTCTTCTCTCAGTGCTCACAGGAGGCGTTGGCATGCCTGTCCCCACCTGAGGACAGGGAATAGCATGCCACCAGGGCTGGTCCACACCAAGAGATCTTTTTTCTTATTTGAAGTCTAAGGCCCCTTTCCTGTCCTGGTTTGAATGCACCACATCTCAGGATATCTGAATTCACTCAATAAATAAAATTGTTTGTGCTCCTGTTCCCATCCTGGCCTTGGAAAGACAACACAGGCAGCCCCCCTGCACAGGTCCTGTTGGGAGAGGCAGCAAACAAGCTGAGACATGATAGGCGAGATGCGCTGATTATAATGTTTCCAAGGGAACTGGCCAGGTAACCTGTTATGGAGACATGGGGGGGGGGCGTGGCATGGGGTGAGGTTGTTGCAGGGCAGGGAGAGGGACACCCCAGACCCTGCAAACCTGCCTGCTCTAAATAGGTTCTGCCATCTGCCACATCAACACAAAACATATGAGATTTTAATGAAAAGGACTTTTAATACAATTAGGAAACAATACAGGAAAGGCAAAGAATATAGTTTCTAAATGAAGCACCCAAAGTTACCTGTCCCCTCGTGGGTAAAAGTCCACCCAAGCAGGATTGGCCCAGAACAAGGCCCCAAAGCCTGTCACAATTCTAAAGCATCTTCAGGTGGGAATCCACAGAAAAGGATCAGAAACAACCAGACAAGTCTGGAAGTAAAAGAGCAAAATCAAAATCAAGACAAAAACCACCACTGTCACCTCCCCACCGGTCTCACCCACATCTGTGTCAACCAGTCCACAACCAAAAGGCAAGTGCAGTTTCTTCACATGTCTCTTGGCTCCATGTGCCTCCTCCAGGTCTCCTTCTGGCTCCATCCTGCTTCCTTCCTTCCTCAGTCTCCTCTGCAACTTCATCTCTCCCTGTTCAACTCCACCTTTCTTTTGGGTGGGGCAGGAAACCTGGAACCTCCCCCTTTCCTGGGGACCACCCTGTTACAAGGTTGCTCTGGAATCTCCAGTTCAAACATGGGAAACAGAAAATGTCTCTTTGAAGAGATGGCATTAAATTGAATCTTGAAGTGAGTCAGTCATGAGAAAAGACAGGGAAAACACGTTGTTGGCAGAAGAAACAGTGGGTGTAAACATGCTAGAATGGAAATGAGTTCAGCATGGTTGAAGAACGAGGGGGATTGGGATGAGGAGAGGTCCTGTAGTCCCTAAGAATTTAGGATTTTGTTCTAAGAAATTCTAATCTTAGCTTTGCTGTTAACTAGTTCTGTGACTCTGGGGCTATTCAAGGTGAGGCTTGGTTGTTTACCTGACTATATAGTGATTTTTTTAATATAAAACTTATTTTTTTTACATGGTTGTTCATTTTTGCATAGTAATTTTTGTTCCTCTTCTATCAGTTGTAATAATATCCAAACTGTGGT